CACTGACAGAGTTTCACCAGATTTACAGGATTGCAAACATTCTCATCAACCAATTGAACTCTACCTGCTCTACCCTAAAGCCATCCATCACGTGCAACCCAGGGAGAGGACCTTACATTCAGGACTCCAGACTGCTCAGGAGTAACTGCTATGGCACAGAAATATGCATGTTGCAAGAACTTTGTGTGACAGGAGCTCTATATCCATCCAGACAAACAGGGAATGCAGAACTGTACCACTGTGAAGTTCAAAGCCCTCTAACCAGGTTAGATCCAGCAGCAGGACACAAGTAGCATTTCTTCTTCTCCCAGCTGTGAAGACAGAGCTGCACAGCTGAGGTACCAACTCCATTTGTAGGTGAAATGATCTTGCAGCTTTTTCTCTGTTCATGGATTTTGTGTATTGTCTTTCATGAATTTCAAGGGCATTCTAAATGGCAGAGGCACACTTTGGATCTCACACGAAAAAAACTTCTTCCTGTCTTAAGGAGAGTTGTCCCCTCACTTTTCCCCCAGCCCTGCCCATGTGTGTTCCTAGCAGGTGCCTTGTTTTATTTTTAACCTCCCTTCTGCATGCAGGAAGCCTTTGCTTGCTGTGAACATCCGGGAATCAGAGTCTAAGCACATCCTAGAAGGATTTCCTGTTTGGGACTTTGGAGCCAGACTCCAGCCTGCATGAGCGAGACCCTCTGAGCAGCGGGCTCGGTCCTGCCGGGCCATGGGCCAGGTGGCTACTGTCAGCTTCAGGAGCAAGTTGCCATCTAGCAGGAAGATGCCAAACTGCCCCACCACTTTCCACCTGCTAGGGATGAGGATGGGAAAAGCAAAGTGCAGTCTGGGTGGGGATGTGGCCGATTCTGGGGCCAGGGTCAGTGTGGTGGCAGAACAGCGTTGTGAGGGGTATCCTGGCATCCCACTGCGTTTGCCTGCAGCTCTCAGAGCATGCAGAGAGTGTGTTTTCTGTCCTCACCTCACCTGGACTTGGGCCACTACAGGTCCCAGTTTGCCATATTTCACCTCCTTCTACATAATTTCAATTTTGGAAGTTCACCAAAACCCTAATTACTACTACCAGTAACTACTACTACCACTAACAGTCTGCCCCAACTAGGTGAACAGTGTATTTCTGCTCCTGTTGCTGTATATCAGTTGCTCTCACAAGGCATAGCTTGACTTACATCCTTCTACCAGTCTACATACAGCTCCAAAGATGCATGTCAGAAAGATGTGCAAGGCCTCTCTCCATGTCCAAGCACACGGCATGGATCTGTTCTTCTCTCTTGCCAAGGGGCTCCCAGAACTAGAATCTACCAGGAGACCAAAAGGGATTCACTGATTTCCATCTCTGAGTAGAGGGAGCACTTGTGAATAAACTGGAATTCTGAGAGGAGGATTGTTTGATGATCTGGGGTAATGCTATGGGGCTGAGGAATAACAAACTCACTGGTACCAAAGAAAGGACTGAAGGGAATGACGCAGAAAAATGCAGATTGCCTGTAATAGTATAAGGGATTCAAAGCAGATTTTAAAGGGAAATGATAGTTTGAAAACATGTGATCCAATGCAGCAAACTTGCCAAGTCATGCCAAAATAGCACATTAGACACTTTATAGATGATTTTTTTGGGGGGCCAGGAAGAAAGGTCGATCAGACTTTCTGAACTACAGTGCTACAGTAACACATAAGAAATTATTTATTAACAGGACAAGACAGAAATTATTATGAAAACTGTAAGATGTTGAAGACTGATAAAAAACCCCTCCAAACAATAAGTCAGAAGGTTTATGCTTGGGGAAATGCACAATCTTTTCAAGGACAGCTTTGGAGCTCTCATATTTAATTTTTTTTCATTAAAGATCTCAGAAAGGAAAAAAAAGTACACGAATAAGGTAGATCAGTGGCACAAAGGCAAGAGGCATTGTGATTAATGAGGGTGACTGGAACATCATAAAGGAAAAAGCTATTATTAAAGAGTACATTAGCAGAAATGGAATGAAATTAATAGATTCATAGTAGACAGTCCTGTGGTTAAAAGGGGTGTCCAACTTCTCATGTGAAGACAGTCAACAATACTAGGTCAAATCAGCCCTGGAAACCTGCAAGGGGATGAGATTCACTACTCTGTTTCTTCCAGTGCTACACTACTCCTCTGGTGAAAAAACTTTCCCTAATTCTCACTCTGAACCTCTCAAGAGCAATTGTGGTAATTGTTATTGTTCTATTGTCTGCATTTAGTCCCATCATCTTCGTAACCTGTCCTTCGGGTAGCAGCAGGATGCTGTTACAGAGCCCTGTCACCTACACATCACCAGACTGAGAGATCCCAGCTTCTTCTGTCTCTCCTTATAAACGATCAGATGTGCCAGGCCCCTACCTATCTCCTACAGTTTTTCCACATCCCTCATGAACAGTGGGAGACAAAAATGTACAGAGGATTCCAGGTGTGACTTTACCATGTCCCAGTTTGAGGGGGGTGATTATTTCCCTTGATCTGCTGCTGACCACTCTCCTAAAGTTCTCCAGTGTAGGAAGTTGTTTACTTGATTTGCAATGAGAGCATCCTACTGACTCTTCATTCCATGCTCACCCCTATTTTCATGTTCCTTTCAGCAGGACTGCCACTTAGCCAGGTGGTTCCCAACCTGCACCAGTTTGGGGGTCATTCTGCCACAGGTGCAAAACTTTGTACTTTTCCTTATTGAACTTCACGATGTTTCTGCTAATCCAATCCTATGAGTTTCTACATATCTCTCTGAACTGAAGTGCCACATATCAGTGACCTGTCCTAGTGTCATCTTCAGACTTGTGCTCCATGTCATCGCGGAGTACCAACAAAGATACTGAACAATACTGGTTCTCAAATTGGTGCTCAGTGTACTCTGTTGTCTGCCACGACCAACCCTGTATTGAGTCATTGATCACTACCCTCACATCCCAGAGGTGCAGCCAATCTTCAGCCCATGTAATGCTCCTTTCTCTCAGCCCATACCTCCTCAGGCTATATTAAAACTCTGTGGGAGCCACTGTCAAGACGCTTTGCATCTACTGCTTTCCCTTCATCCATACAGCTGGTTAGTTGGGCTGCTCAGGCAGGATTTGTGCTAGCTAAATCTGATTGCCTTCTTGTTCTCCATATGGTCAGAGATGGATTCTGAGGCAGTGTGGTCCATGAGTTTTCCAGGTACGGATGTGACCTTGACAAACGGATGGTTCTTTGCGTTCCTCATTGCCGTCCTTAAAGCGAGTGTAATATTTGAATAACAGAATCATAGCATGGGATGTGTTGGAAGGGACCTTTAAGGGTCACCTACTCCAACCCTCCTGCAATGAGCAGGGACATCTACAACTTGATTAGGTTACTCAGAGCTCCATCCAACCTCACCTTGAGTATTTCACCACCCTCACTATAAACATTTGTTCCTTATACCTACTCTGAATCTACCGTGTTTTAGTTTAAAATCATCACCCCTTGTCCTATCACTACAGGACCTGTTAAAAAGTCTGTCCCTATCTTTCTTATAAGCCCCCTTTAGGCACTGGAAGGGGCTCCAAGGTCTCCTCAGAGCCCTCCCTCTCCAGGCTGAACAACCCCAACTCTTTCAGCATGCTCCAGCTCTCTGATCATCTTTGTGGCCATTCTCAGGACTCACTCCAACAGCTCAGTGTCTGTCCTGTACTGAGGACTCCAGAGCTGTGCAGTGTCCCAGATGGGATCTCTCCAAGATGCAGCAGAGAGGAAGAATTTCTGCCCTGATTCTGCTGGCCACATTATTGCTGACACATGGGGATTGAGAGTTGTTGCCCTCTATGCAAAGTGTCATTAAAGATCTGCCAGAGAAATAGAGACATGAACCAGATCAGCTCCATAGAGCTGAGCAAAAAGACCCTCCACAGATTGCATTGTCCTCTTCCCCATTTCCCTCATTTCTCTCCTTTTCAGAAAGGAAACTAAATTGTTCCATGCACTGAACTAGTCTGGACCTTTATCATCCTCATTCCCCTCTTCTGAACTTTTTTCCTCCCTTCCCGTGACCTTCTCAAGATAGATGTTGGAGAAAATAAACTGAATATACTATAGCTTAGGGAATTTATGATAAGAATCATGAGATGTGCTGTTCAGGGTCAAAAGGCTTCTTTAGGGTACCTTTAGACCAGTAGCAGTAATCCAGAGTTACTTTTTATTTCTAAATCCAGCTTAGCCCATGTGGTATTCAGGAAGAGATGCAGATACACAAATCCTGTAGGGTTCCTTCTCTGTGAAATTTGTCTAGTGGTCCCTATTCTTCCTTTGAATTGATTGTCACTGATGGAAGAACCTTTTCCCGATGGAGCAGACTGAGCCATGGTCTTTATAGCAGATGATCTTAGTAATGGACCGCAGTCAATGGCAGTTTCTCCACTAAGAAATCAAAGAAGATCCAGCAGTGGTTACTGGCCTGGGTGCTGAGTGGCTCCAACAGACACATGGACACTGCTGAGACCTGTCTGGAGCAGGGAAAAGCTGCCTGAGTGGCCAAGCCAAGCTGAGCAGCCAGTCACTGGTGGAGATGCATAGACAGTCATTCACCAGAATCTTGGCTTGTTCCTTGACATGGACTGGCAGGGCCCCAGTCCCCTGTGGCACAGACACATGGTGAGCACCTTCCAGCCTGGACCTTGGGAACTCTGATGACTATTAAGGGTTTGGCAGGTCACAGGTACTTAAGCTTCGGATTCTGTGCTGAAGAAAGAACTGCAGCAGAGAGGAAAGAATGGCCCCTGTCTCCACAACCATGTCCCCACATGCCCCCAGGGTCACCTACAGCCTCCGTCCATTCCCTGCCCAGCCCTCTCCCTGCCAGGTCTACCTCCCACTGCTGCCTCCTGCTCCTGCCAGCCCCTTCCCATTTCCCCGGGCTCCCTGCGCCCACCGCTTCCTTCCATCCCTCTGTACTCAGGTTCCAGCCCTTCCCCCCTCTCCGTGTCGGCCCCGTTCCCCGGCCCCTTGGTGCCCCTCCAGACCGTCCCGCCCCCGGACCCCCGCCCGCCCGGGGCTGCCCCGGGTCCGCGCTCCGCCGGCGCGCTCCGGTGCGGGGCGGGGATGGGGGCGGCGGGGGGAGCGGGGGGCTGAGGGCGGCGCTGGGTCGGGTTTCAGCAGGAGCCTCCGCGCCGAGCCAGCTCCGATCCGCCGGCGAGCGCTTCGCGGGGCCACCGCCGCACCGGGACAGCCGCGGCACCGGGGAGTACCGGGGCGCTGGAGCGGCCGGCGGTACCGGAGCGATCTCGGCACCGGAGCAGCGGAGCGGCGGCGGGACATCGCGGCGGGGCCGGACCCTGCGGGATGCGAGCGCCGCCGGCGAGGGACGCGCGGTGTAAGTGCCAGCGCCGGGGACCGGCCCGCGCTCGCCGCCCGCCCGCTGCCCCGCACGGCGGCATCGCCGCACGGGGGGCCCGGTCCGGCACCGGGACCGGCCGCTTTGTTCTGCCTCCGCCGCGCAGACAATGGAGCGGGGGGGCGGGAGGGGGGTGTCGGGGGGGCGCGCCCACGGCGGCGCAGCACAGCGGACCCGCGGCCGCACCGGGCTCCCCGCGGCCCCGGCGCTGGCAGCGGCCGGGCGGGACGGGACGGGACGGGACGGGACGGGCACGGTGCCGCCGCAGGGCAGACCCGCCGCGGGGACGGCGCTCAGCGGAGCCGCAGAGGCGCCGGGCGGGGGCTGCGGGCCCGGGCGGAGCGGGGAGCGAGGCTGGCAGAACGCCGGCACCGGGAGCGCCCGGTGCGGGACGCCCGGGAGCGCTGGGGACGGGGACGGGGAGCGGCAGCGGGCGGTAGGCCCGGCGGCCGGGGAGCCCTGGGAGCCCGGAGCTCCGGGGGAGCACGAGTCCCGACAGCCGGGGACACCGGTGTGCAGGGAGCAGGCGAAGCCCCGCAGCCTCTCGGTGATGGACATAGCCTGGCAGGAGCCGGTGCAGCGAAGGGGTGTCCCAGGGCTGGGACTGTGGGAACTGGCTCCGTCGTGAAGAAATTTCATTAGAGCTTCCTTTGTGGAGGAAGCATTCTCAGAGACAGGAGAGCCGTGGGCAGCCCCCAGTGTGGCACGAGAATGGGATCCACAAGGGTGCAGTGGGTCTTGACTGCATCCTCGGGAGAGGATGGCCACCGCCACTGTAACTGCTCAGATCCCATATCAGAGGGACATGAGGCTGTGTGGCCTGGCTGGGAGCAAGCAGAAGGGTGCTAGTTCTTAAGGCCTAGGTGGGAAATGGTAGGAGGGCCAGAAGGCACAGACATGGCTGTAGCAGCAGGCTAAGTAGAGGCTGGAAGGGAGTTGTTAGCCCAAGGGTGCACTACAGGCAAAGTCTAAACTGTGCGTGATTCGGAGGGTAGATCATCTGAAACTAGAGAGAGAATCTGTGTGAATGTAGAGGAGGAAAGCATATTCCAGGTCAGTAACTGGTGCTCAGCAAAGATTAAACGGGCTTCTGAATCCTTCCTCATCTGGACTAGAGTCTCAAAAACATCATTACATGAGTCATGACCTCTCATGTGAGACTTAGGGTATGGCATCAGCAGCATCTGCAGCTTTGATGGGGCCTTTGCACAGCAAGCACTCTGACATCTGTTTGTGGCGTGCACAGTGGGTGCCGTCTTTCCAGCTCCTCTGCTGGGGCTGCTCTGGGCCCGCATCCCTTTTCTCGTGGCTGGCATGAGGTGTGAGGTGCCACAGTGGCAGGGGTGGACACAGTGGTCCCAATGCAGTTCCATATCTTTTTTCTTCCTAAATGTGACGTATCTGCTTAGCGTAGGGCTGGGCTCTCCTGGTGCCCCAAGCTGTCAGCCCTAGGCTCGGATGTGCTTATAGATGTTGCAGCTCTCTCCATTTTAGCTGCCCTTCCTGTCAACATCCTCGCCGTGGCTCTGGACCCCAAACGCCTGTGTGGAGAGATTCTCATCCTGGCAGTTTTCTTCAGAGGCTCCTGCTGCCGTTTTTCGCAAGGGATCTTGGTGCCCAGCAGTGGGAGGGAGAGAGGGGGAGTGGGGCAGTCTGGCTCACATTACAGGGACCGGCCAAGCCAGCCCCTGCGCTGAGCTCTCTGCTAACTGGAAGCAGCTGTTCAGATTTGGTGACTCTGCATCCACTGAGGTCACTGCTGGCTCCCTATGACCCAAGGCTGCAGACCTCATCAGAACAGGGGGCTGCTGGTACCGAGGATGGCTTCTGCAACCCTGGACTGGTGCAGTCTGGCAGCTGGGCAGTTGCACCTCTTACCAAAGGATAGGCTCTGAAACTACCCAATTGCATCCAGGGAGAATGGAAATGGAGAAGTTTATACAGGCTTTCATCACCAGTCCCCCAACCCAGGGACCCTAATTTTTGTTCCCTGGTTGTCCCAGTGCTCTCAACTGGTCTTCACACTCCCTAGATTTGCTTTTCAGGTTTCTATCCTCCCTGCCAGCAGCTCACAAAACCTGACTGGCTTCTCAAGAGCTGCATTACTAATCAAACCAGGTGGGCTTTTCCCCATATCTGTGCCCTGATCTGTTTCGGGCGCTACCCAAGATCTTTCAGCTCCATCCTGTCCTCAGCCACCAAGTTTGCCCCAGGGAACCTTGGCCCTCTACCTATTTTTCCACTCTCATTTTTATTTTTTTTGTTCTTTGTGTCTAAGCTCTTGCCAAGGCTTTAAACCCTCTGCCCTGTCCCTTCCTGTGACCTGAGTAGCTGGGCACCATTGGGATGGTGCAGTTTCATCACAGAAGGTACCTGGGACCCCATGCCCCTGCACAGTATGGGGTGGGGCAGTTACCCCTCCAGCTGGGGAATTAGAACTGGCTCCAATAGAGAGACAGACCTGTCTAGGACCACTGAATTAATGCAGATTCCCAACTCGGAGTCCAAAGGTACAAAAGTATCTTCTTTTGACTTCTGCTCCTGGGACATTGCAGGGGTTCTCAGCTGGGTGCAAAAGGAGCATGTGGATTTACCTCAGAATGTGTGGATAGACCTCAGACACCAGATGCTCACCGAAGTAAACACTTCTTTATGCATAGAAAATACTTTTAAATGTTTATTTTTCTGTCACTAACCTGGGATTTCCACAGGGAAAACCAGTCTAAACAGCTGATCCAAGGTGGGGAAGGGGACCCAGGAATAATCATTCTATGTTCCCTAGAAAAGGTTAACACTGCCGTGGGGTTCTTTGGTCAAGGGCTGACATTCTTAGTTCCCAAACTAGACAATGTCAGCCACTTCCATCCCCCAAAACAAGGAGGTTTCTGCTCCTTCATCTGACATGAGCGGCTCCTGAGTGTGGTTATGGGACCAGCAGCAAACGCTTTCAAGGGAGTCCAAGTGTGAGCTCATGCTGCCGCCATCCCCGCAGACCACGGAGCCTCGTTCACCGGGGCTGAGCGAGTGCTGGGGCTGCTGCTCCTCACCAGCTCCTTGGCCGCTGGGTTCCCCTGGCTGTTCTCAGCGGGGGTGGGCAGGGCGGGGGGCTGGCAGCCCATGGACACGGGGAGCCTGTCTGCCGTGTCCGGCTGCGGTGCTGCAGGAGCTGTGGCTGACTGCTCGTCCCTCCCCCACTGCTGCAGCGAAATGCAGCTAAGGGGGAAAGGGAGGGAAGGAGCCGGAGCCAGCAAGGAGCAGCGAGAAGGAGACAAAGGAGGGGAGTGAGCAGCAGAGGGTGTGGGACGGGAAGGAACCGGAGCAGCTGGCAGCTCAGAGGGAATCGCTGCGTTCCTACTGCACTGCCACCACCCTCCATGGTACCAGCCTGGGACACCCACAGATCGCTGTGCCAACCCAAACAATGGGCATGGTCTGATTTTATCCCGGGCATTCCCAGCTGTGGGCACATCCTTTGCAATACAGCCTTTTTGATTTATTGTTCACTGGATCGAAGCCCACTCCATCTCTGTGCTCCCTTCCAGGGACACCAGATTTGCACCTCATGGGTTTTTGGCACCTATATCCCTGTGGTCCCTAAAGGCACGCTGCTGGGGAGGGGGGGAGGGAGTGGGGGACGAGGGCTAGGGTCTCAACTGGTTGCTTGCTGAGCACTCTCACAATTTGAGACCAGCTTTTCTCAGGGTGGAGAGGTGCAAGGCTGCTGTTTGTCCAAAAACCTCTGTCCTCTTGCAGACAAGCTCTGAGCCTCACAGGAAGTGTTCAGCTGTTAAAGGCACAGGAGCACACTGCTCTGGGGCAGCTGGTGCCAGCCAGGTGGTGGTTGGGAGGGGCAGTTTAGGGTGTAGGTGACGGGGTACCAGCTGCTCACCTCAGTATGCTGTCAGGTGTGACCTGCTGGGCTGACTCCATGTGCTGTCCCTGGCCTTTGTTCTGGGCACCCTCTGACATGTTGTCACATTTGCTCCTTGTGAGGGACAGGTGATACACAGCAATTGGGCAGCAGGTACCTAGCAGGCCTTCCCTCTCAAGGCTTTTTTCTCTGTCCTTCCCTTGCTCCCTCTTAATCAGCATCCTCCGGTCTGCATTCCATACAGGATTAAAGCAAACGCTGCAAAGGAGATCGAGCCACCCTCTGCTCTGCCGGTTGCCAGCCATGAAGGGGTCAGCCATGCTTCTGCTGGAACTGCTCATTCTTGGGGGCCTGAGAGCAGGGATGGGCTCTGCTGTCCTGGGCACCCTGGATCTACAAATAGATGAAGAACAGCCGGCTGGCACCATCATTGGGGACATCAGTGCTGGCCTGCCCCCTGGAACTAGTGCCTATATGTATTTCATCTCGGCACAGGAGGGCAGCGGTGTCTCCACTGACTTGGGGATAGATGAGAACACGGGGATCATCAAAACAGCTCGTGTCCTGGACCGTGAGACTCGGGACCACTACAGCTTCATTGCTGTCACCCCAGAGGGCATCACGGTAGAAGTGAACATCCAAGTGAATGACATCAATGACCATGCTCCAGCCTTTCCCAAACAGCACAGCACCCTCCAGATCCCAGAGCATACGCCCATCGGCAGCAGGTTTCCCTTGGACCCGGCCTTTGATGCTGACAGTGGCCTCCTGAACACACAAGGCTATGTGATTAAGGGAGGGAATGTGGGGCAGGCCTTCCGCCTGGAAACGCGTCTAGGACCCAATGGGGTCCTGTATTTGGACCTGGTGGTCAGCAATGTTCTGGACCGGGAGAATCGTTCATCGTACTCGCTGCTGTTGGAAGCCTACGATGGTGGTTCTCCTCCCCGGAGCACCCAGATGACACTGGATGTGTCCATCCAGGACATCAATGACAATGCTCCCAGCTTCAACCAGAGCCGCTATCATACGCTGATCTCAGAGAATCTGAAACCTGGCAGCAGCATCCTGCAGGTCTTTGCCTCCGACGCAGATGAAGGTGACAATGGGGATGTGATTTATGAGATCAACCGGCGGCAGAGCGATCCTGACCAGTACTTCACCATTGATGCCCGGACTGGAGTCATCAAGCTCAACAAGGGTCTGGACTATGAAGTGAGGAAGGTGCATGAGCTAGTGGTGCAGGCAAGGGATAAGGCTGTCCATCCTGAGGTCACCACAGCCTTTGTCACTATTCATGTGCGTGACTACAATGACAACCAGCCCACCATGACTATCATCTTCCTGAGTGAGGATGGCTCCCCACAGATCTCCGAGGGAGCCCAGCCCGGACAGTACGTGGCTCGCATCTCTGTTTCTGACCCAGACTATGGAGAGTATTCCAATGTCAATGTTACACTGGAGGGAGGGGATGGCAAGTTTGCCCTCACTACCAAGGATAACATCATCTATCTGATCTGTGTGGACCAACTTCTGGATCGGGAAGAAAGAGACTCCTATGATCTGCGGGTGACGGCTACTGACTCAGGAACACCCCCACTCCGGGCAGAATCGGCCTTTGTGTTGCAGGTGATGGATGTCAATGACAACCCTCCACTCTTCGACCAGCAGGAATACAAGCAAAGCA